CTCTGCTCAGGAGGAAGTGCCTGGGCCTGCCTGGCCACCAGGTCCTCCTACCAGCATGAGCACATGCCCTGGCTCCTGTGTGGGGCAGTCTTTCCTTCCTCGGGCTTCATGTCTTCTGTCTGTCCTTTGCCCTTGCCCCTTGGGCCCTGGGTCTTAAGTCTGTGTTTTTCCCATCTCGCTTGATCTCCACGCCTGCCTTTTCAAGCTGCCACCTCGGTATCTGCAACTTCACACCCAAGCGAGCCTTTCTGTGTCCACCCTCTCTGTCCAGTAGCTCTCAGGTGCTGGTGTATGTCTGACTGCCCCGGCTCCTCAGCGTCTCCCTTTTCCAAGGACTGTATCTGCCGCCTCCCGAGGAGGAGATCAGCACTTGAGTAATGGAGACTGTTTTGTTCGTTTGTGGGCAGTACCTCCCTAGCTGAGCTTTGCAACCTGCTCTTCTTGTCCTAAGGAACAACCGGAGACCTGGGTCTGGAAGGAGGAAAAGAGCAAAACCAAAAAGAAAAAAAGAAATGCTCCTTTCTGTTCCTCCACCGCTTTCTCGTCTCTTCCCCTCCTTCCCCCTGAGAGGGAACGAAGCATGAAGGCGGAGGGTGGAAGGAAGGGGCAGCAAGGAGCTGTGGAGACAGGACCATTTTGGAGCTGGAAGATTCATCTCTGGGGATGACTAAACCCTCAGAACTCTCCTCCCTCCCTTGGCTCCAGGCCTCCCTCCTCCCATCCCCCTCGGTGGCAGCAGCCTTGTAATTTAAAGCTCTCTCTGTCGCCTCTAATGTGATCCTCTCGTTTTATTGACTCTCTCTGCCGTCTGTGGCGCCCCTTCACATCAATCTCCTCTCTAATCACACCGCCACCACTGCCTGCTCTGTCTCCCCTAACCCCTCGCCTCTGCAGAGGGCCCCAGCCCTTGCCTCTACCCAGGCCTTTCCTTTGGACTGTCCCCCACCGCCACTCCACACAGATCAGCCTTCCTCCGTCCCTCCTTCAGAGGCTAGAGTGCCAGTGCCTTTGAGGAGACGCCTTCTCCCCTTATCCACACCCGAGATGTGTCCTAAGGGAGAGAAGACGCCCTTAAAGGAGAGCTGGGGACTAAAGGGAAGAATGGCAAAGGGTCTGAGGACAAACGAGAACCTCGGCCTGGGGTGGCAGGTGGGGATGACTTTTAGGCCTGTTTCTGCGGCGTCTCCAGTTCAAGGTAGGAAGGGCAAAGAAAGGGACATGGAAATTCAGAGAGGGAAGGAAGAAAAGATGGAGGAGGAGGGAAAGGGAGAGAAAAGTGAAAAAATAATTGCTGCAGCTAAAGGTTTGTAATAAATAGTGGGTGATGGGAGAAGCACCGAGAAGAAAGGAGGGGGAAATGGTATAGTGGTAGGGGGATGGGGGATGCACTGAGGCAGAGATAAATTTGCAATTGAAATTCTTTCCTGGAGAGGAGGAGGGGTAGGTTGGGAGGTGGGGAAAAGATTTGCAATTTTAAATAGCTGCCAACCTACCCTTGGCCCTATCTGGGTCTCACCCATGAACTAGCCGAAAGCCCAGCTCTTTGGGTTTCTAGCCAGGAGTTGGCTAGGTCTTTCTGGTCCTGGGAAGCAGAAACTGGAGAACTTGGGTGTTACTGCAGGATTTCGGGTTCAGGTCCCCCTGCCCTCCTCTGAACTGTGCCAAGAGCTGGAGTTAGGAGCCTGGAAGGAGCCGGTGGGAGGAGGCAGGGTGGGCTGTGTTGCGTGGGTCAGCTGGGAGAGGGCTCTCCCGCGTTCAGCCCTCAGCAGCAGGACTCAGGAGAGGGCCCTCTTGCCTGCCCCCGTTCTTCCCAGCAGAGGGGGGAGTGCAGGGTGCCGCGGCCCAGCTGTGGGAATGACAGCAGAATGTCGGGGCCACACACAGCGGCGCACCTACCCCCCTTTCTTCGACGAGGATTCTGTGGGAGGAATACTTCTCTTCTTGGCCTGTCTAGAAATCTGGCTCTCCCCAGTCCAATTCCTTTACTTCCCTGGTTCTCTAACTCCCCTACCTCTCCATCTCCTCCGCCCCTTTCCTAGGTGCTGATTTGCATGTCATTAGCATGCTAATCCGGCCCACTCGGCGCTCCTTAATGACTCTGACTTCACGCCTGGCTAGACCCCCAGGAGGAGAGGGAAGCAGGAATTGAGGCCGGCCTGAGGACCCATTCCAATCCATGAGCCTAGAGGTGAGGGTTGGACTGGCCCACGGGAAGAGGCCCTCGCACTTCCCCCATCCCTGAAGTGTGTGGTCTGAGCACAGGTGTTTAATCATTAGAGAGCTGCCGATGGAGCTGGGGCGGATGCACACGGGACTCTGGAGAAGTATGAGGCAGTGAGTCAGAGCGAAGACCATGATAAAAACTAGTTGTGAGCCTCAGTGCCTGTAGTCAGCTGGAGGCAGCCCAGGAATCCTGATTTCTCAGCCTTTCGAGGCTTGTTATGTCTGTACTGTAACTGAAGGACAGTCCAGCTGGATGGAGGAGCCCAGGACACAGCTTTGGGGTATACTCTGTGCCTGCTCAGCCCTCTCCTAGATCCCACGTAGGAGCTGTGTGACCATCTGTAGCTTACTTAACCTCTCTGTTTCTCTGGGCTGCCTCATCTGTAAAATAAGGTTGCCGTGAGATTGAATGAGACAACTGATGGAAAGTATTCAGCATAGCAACCCTGGTATCTACACCCTAACAGCTATTAGTAATATTATTCCCATTATGATATGTTATTTCTTTGGAAAAGAGGAGGCAACATAGGAGCTGTTGCCTTTCAGCTGACCGGGACATTCCACATGCTGGAGACCAGAGGTGGAGCTAGAAGGCTGGGAGGGCGGTACGGTGCCTGCGTACAGCCGGACGCACCCAGTTCATTCACTCCAAGACATTTGTGGAAGCCGTGGCAGGCGTTGTTCTCTGTGCTGATGATAAGAGCGGTGAATAAGGCAGACTGGTCTCTGCTCTCGCAGAACCTACCTTCTAGAAGGAGAGAAGTGAACCAGGAAATAATCGGGTAGTGAGCGCCGGTTAGAAAGTACCCTCAGAGAGGGAAGCAGGTTGGAGGAGGTGGTCGCAGCAGAACTGAGTGTCAAGGAGCCGCCAAGACTGGTGGAGGAGTTTTCCAGGTGGAATAAACAGCTGGACAAGGGCCAGTTGGGGTGGGAATGAACTCCGTATGTTGAGAAACAGAAAGAAGGCCAGTGGACTGGAGCCACTTCCAGCTGGCAAGGCAGTGTGGAGAGGCCTCCGTTTTTCTGAATTATTTTGTTGTGGCCAGCAGGTGGCATGGTAGTTAAGGTGCTGGATTTCCACGTGGCTGATGATGGTTTAAGTCCCAGACCAGGCAGCTTTCTCACACTCTTTGTCTCTCTGGTGAGCATGTGTGCTCTGTAGCAAATTAAAAAATAATATTGACAAATGAAATAATTTTAAAGGGAGCATATTTTATTTCATTTTATATTTTTTAAAGAATCATTTAATTTTGGGACCAGCAGTTGGCGTAATGGCTACGTCACTGGACTCTCATGTCGTCAACTGCAGTTTGAGTCCCGGACCCGGTGGCTTCACACCGGGCGCATGTGCGTGCGTGCCCAAGATCCTGAGAGGAGAATGGAGGAGAAGGGATTGTGTCGTGGCCATCCTCCCTGGGGGGTGATTTCTTGCTTTCTGTCTCTCTGTCTCTCTCTCTGTCTTTTTAGTGAGTGTACATGCCCTGCAAAAACCTCTAAAAAAAAAAAAAGAGAGAATTATTTAATTTTGTTTATCATTATTATTATTTTAAAATTTGCTATAGGGCATGGCACATTCACCAGAGAGAGAGAAAGAAGGAAAGTGAGAAAGCAAGCCTCCAGGTCTGGGACTTGAACTGTGGTCAGCCATATGGGAGTCTAGCGCCTTAACCACCATGCCACCTGCTGGCCCCCAGCACAGAGAGTTTTAAGATGACCTCTGAGGCAGGTGGACAACAGGAGCTGGGAAAGGAGTCTGGATTTTATTCACAATGCAATGAGAAATCCCTGATAAGTTTTAAGCAGAACATAATATGATTTACAAGTTAAAGAGATGACTTTCTGTGGTACCTGAAATTTGCCTTAAAACAATACATGAAAGGTAAAGAAATGGGGAATTCAGGTAGTTTCCTGCCCTCTGTATACTTCATATACATGAAATAAGATAGGCCGTGATGGGCCAGCCATGGGTGTTGGTAAGGCAGCTGAACTCCACATGGCCAACTGCACAGGTCAAGTTCTGGACCCTGTGGCTTCAGAAACATGCTTGGCCGCATGTGCATGCATGCCCCCAATCCAGAAATGCGGGACAGCTGGAGAAGGGGTCACGTTATGACCGTCCCCCGCAGGTGGTGCTCTCTCCCTCTCACTGTCTCATATGCGCCCTGGCAAGGTTGAAAAAAAAGACTGGCCACGAGCCGATGATTGCTGGAGCTGGACGATGGGGACAAACGGAGGCTTCTCACGTTATTTGGTCTACTTTTATATATGTTTGGCATTTTCCATAGTTGGGAACTAAATAAAAGATCATTCTGGCTGCTGGGTGGAGAAAAATAGATTGTAGGGGGTGGTGGAAGTAGAAGCCAGTGCAGAGCCTGCTGTACCAGCTCAGGAAAGAGACGTTAATGGCCTAGGCCAAGACGACACTAGAAAAGACGGTTAAGGGAGGGGTCTGACACGTTTCAGAGGTTGCTGTGGAAGTGGACACAGGTGGACCGAGAGAAAACGTGGTTGTTCGGCCTAACCCACTAGATAAATGGTGATACCAACATTTGAGATAGGGAAGTTGGGGAGGAACAGGTTTAAGGGAGCAATAAAGAGTTCTGATTTTGGACACGTTAAGTTTAGAAGCCCGTTAGACACTAAGTGAAGCTTCAAGTTGGCAACTGGGTATCTGAGCCTGGTGTTCAGGGAAGAGGATGGGGCTGGAGTCCCCAGAGATCCAGCTGCCCCCAGGGTCCCTGTGGCGTCACAGCACTGCTCTCTGTGTTTTCCTGCAGGGTACGGGCTGTCACGCTGAAATGAACCCCCAGCACTCCTCCGTAAACCATGGCCACCCTTAACTCAGCCTCTACTGCTGGCACCACCCCCTCCCCTGGGCACAATGCCCCGTCCCCGCCTCCGGACACCTCCTCCTCCAGCACCCCCTCTGATCCTGTCACCAAAGATCCCCCTGCTTCCCCCTCCACCCCTGAGAGCATGAGGCCCTCAGAGCCAGGAGAACAGCCCCTAGAGTCAGGCTGTGGCCTCGTCCCACCAAAGGAGATTGCGGAGCCCTCAAAAGAGCCTGGCTGTGGTCACTTCCCGCCAAAGGACCTGGGGGTAGAAAAGGACAAGGAGCAGCAGGAAGAGGACGGGCTCCCTCCTGTGGACCTACGCAACCACTTACTCTTCGCATCTGGCGGTGAGGCCTACCTGGTGGCCAGCCTGCCCCTGCCAGGCAGCAATGAACTCCCGTTACCAAAGGGCTTCCCCTGGGGTGAGGCAGGCACCAAGGAAGAGCCCAGCCGGCCCCTACTTGCCCACCCAGCCCCTGCACACCTCACTGCCCTTCACATCCAACATGGCTTTGATCCAACCCAAGGCTTTAGCTCTTCTGACCAAATTCTGTCCCACAATACCTCAGCGCCATCTCCGGCCACCTGTGAGGGAAGGGATGGAGCCTTCTGGAGCTACCAGCTGACTCCGAACCCACCCGGAGATCCCAAAGATGGCCCCATGGGGAACAGGGGGGGAGACCACAGGGCACTGTTCTGGTTCTGCCTCCTCTGCCGCCTGGGTTTCAGCAGGCCCCAGGCCTTTGTGGGTCACACACAGTCTCATGGGGTGAAGCTAACCCCTTCCCAACACCGGGGCCTGTCGGGCAGCCCAGCCGTGCTCCAGGAGGGGGCCGAGGGCTGCACGGCCCTCATAAGCTTTCTGGAACCAAAACTCCCCACTTGTCCCTCTTTTGAAATACCCCTCGACAACAGCAGCACAGTGAACATGGAGGCGAATGCAGCCCAGTCCGCGGATGGCCCCCCTGAGGCCCAAGTCCAGGCCCCAGTCCTCCCCACTGAAGAAGTCATGGCCCTCAGCTCTCCCTCCCCACCCACAACCCCGGCCACCTGGGACCCCAGCCCAACCCAAGCCAAAGAATCGCCAGTAGCAGCAGGCGAGGCAGGGCCAGATTGGTTCCCCGAGGGGCAAGAAGATGGAGGGCTCTGCCCCCCACTCAACCAAAGCTCACCCACCTCCAAGGAGGGGGGCATTCTCCCCGTCCCAGTGGGCTCCCCTGAGGACCCCAACGACCCACCCCAGTCCTACCGCCTGGCTGACGATTATGCCCCAGGCCCTGCAGCCTTCCAGGGCCTCAGCCTGTCCAGCCACATGTCCCTGCTACACTCTCGGAACTCCTGCAAGACGCTCAAGTGTCCCAAGTGCAACTGGCACTACAAGTACCAGCAGACCCTGGATGTGCACATGAGGGAGAAGCATCCCGAGAGCAACAGTCACTGCAGCTACTGCAGCGCCGGGGGCGCCCACCCCCGCCTTGCGCGGGGCGAGAGCTACAACTGCGGCTACAAGCCCTACCGCTGCGACGTCTGCAACTACTCCACCACCACCAAGGGCAACCTCAGCATCCACATGCAGTCTGACAAGCACCTGGCCAACCTGCAGGGCTTCCAGGCAGGGCCTGGGGGGCAGGGGAGTCCCCCAGAGGCATCGCTCCCACCCCCTGCTGGGGACAAAGAGCCCAAGACCAAATCATCCTGGCAGTGCAAGGTGTGCAGCTACGAAACAAACATCTCCCGCAACCTGCGCATCCACATGACCTCCGAGAAGCACATGCAGAACGTGCTGATGTTGCACCAGGGACTGCCTCTGGGCCTGCCACCTGGGCTGGTGGGGACGGGCCCTCCTCCCCCACCAGGGGCTGCTGCCCCCAACCCGCAGGAACTCTTCCAGTACTTCGGGCCCCAGACTCTAGGGCAGCCTCAGACTCCCTTGCCTGGCCCTGGACTGAGGCCAGACAAGCCCCTGGAAGCCCAGCTGCTTCTCAATGGCTTCCACCACCTTGGAGCACCTGCCCGCAAGTTCGCCACACCTGGTAAGCTCCCTCGGTGCTGCACCTCTCCCCCCTTCTTCTCGTGCATGGGCCCACTCTGCTCCCTGCTTTCACACAAATGCCAGCACTCCCCACTTAGGTAACGAACTCCTGAACACTAGCTTACTCATTCGCCCATCTTTCCATGTAGCAAACGGACCCTGCCCCATGTCACCCTTGGGTCACCAATCTGTCTCTGTCCCCCAGCCCCTGGAAGCCTCTCCCCCGATGCCCACCTGCCTCCAAATCAGCTCCTGGGCTCCTCGTCTGACAGCCTGCCCACCTCGCCGCCCCCAGATGACAGCCCGACCCTGAAGGTATTCCGATGCCTGGTGTGCCAGGCCTTCAGCACAGACAGCCTGGAGCTGCTGCTCTACCACTGCAGTGTGGGCCGGAGCCTCCCGGAAGCCGAATGGAAGGAGGTGGCAGGGGACACCCACCGCTGCAAGCTCTGCTGCTACGGCACCCAGCTCAAGGCCAATTTCCAGCTCCACCTCAAGACTGACAAACACGCTCAGAAGTACCAGCTGGCGGCCCACCTGCGGGAGGGGGGCGGGGCCGTGGGCACCCCCTCTCCCATGCCCCTGGGGGACGGGGCCCCTTACGGGTCTGTGTCCCCCCTGCATCTGCGCTGCAACATCTGTGACTTCGAGTCCAACAGCAAGGAGAAGATGCAGCTGCACGCCCGGGGTGCAGCCCATGAAGAAAACAGCCAGATCTACAAGGTGAGGCAGGGGTGGGAAGGGCCCAGGAAGGGAGGGGATGCGGGGAGGAGATCGCCATAGGGAAGTGAGGGGAGAAGTCAGGGTTACAGAAATGAAGGAAAAGGAAAGTGGGCACCAAGGAATCAGACGCTGGGACAGACATAGAGAAAGACCAAAGGAGAGCGGGCTCTGAAGACGTGGAGCGGACTTTATTCAGCCCCTCTGGTGTCTGGGGTGGAGTGAGGCCTCCTGTCAGCTCAGTCTGTCATGTCACCAGGTTCAAAAGGACCGAACCAGATTCCATTTGCACATCAGGAGGGGGGGTCAAGGATTGGTTTGAAGAAGAGGAGGAGGTGGGGGCGAACAAGCAGTAATACTCAGGTGGCCATAGGAGGGCATAGTGGGCTCACGGGCATGGAAGGGATGGGGGTGGCTGCTAGTCAGACTCCGCGGCGAGAGGCAAAGAAGGCCCCTGAGATCTGGAGATGTCCCTCGGGCCCTGAGCCAGCCTCTCCCCATGGTTCTAGTTTCTGCTGGAAATGGAGGGAGCAGAGGCAGGGACAGAGCTGGGGCTGTACCGCTGCCTGTTGTGTGCGTGGGAGACCCCCTCGCGCCTGGCTGTACTACAACACCTGCGCGCCCCAGCCCACCGCGACGCCCAGGCCCAGAGGCGCCTGCAGCTGCTACAGAATGGCCCGACAGCAGAGGAAGGACTGCCTGCTCTTCAGAGCATCCTGAGCTTCAGCCACGGGCAGCTCCGGACTGCTGGTAAGGAAGGAGGAGGCAGGCTGGAGAATAAGGGCTGGACAGGGAGCGAGACTGATGACAGTGACATGAGCAGGGAAAACAGGTCTGCCCTTAGGAGGGAGCTGTGAGGGGTGAGAAGGCAGGCCAGGGGCTGCTGAGCAGGAGTGGAAACAAGAGGCTGCTGGAGGAGGGCAGGGAAGGCTGGGACTGTGCTGGGTGAGGTACAGAGCAGGAGCAGGGGTGAGGAGGACCACCCCGTGATTCTGAATAGCAATGCTGAGTGCAAGTGTGGGGGCTGACAGACGGGCTGGTCAGGAAGGAGAGGATAGCTAGGAAAAAAGAGAAGGAACCCGCTCCGTGCTGGGCAAGGACTTGGAAGGAGATTCGAGCTCAGCCCACAGGCAGCAGGGATGGGAAGAGGCTCCCAACAAGCTTCCCAGCCTCCTCCTGTCTCTTAGGTCTTCAGCCCTAAGGCTGGGCTTAGCGTCCCCCTTAGGCATCTGAGGTTGTACCAACAGAGGCCAGAACGGCCGGCCAGACGCACTGAACCAGAGGGTGCGGAATAGAGCCTGGAAGGGGATGCCAGAGGTGGGCATGGGCATCTGGGCTTTGTCGAGGCCAGCGGTGGGCAAGGGTGAGGGTACGGGCAGCAGGAACAGGCAGCATTGACTGGTGCTAATTGAATTGCCAATACGCTGGCTGGAGTTAAGTGCCGGAGGGGCCCAGATCAATAGCTAACGATCCTGGCGCAGGGCTGAATGGAGTTAAGGAACTTTAACACTTTAATTAGGCCGCCACCGAAAATAAATTCCTACACATCTGTCAATTCTTACTTGAGTGGTAATCTCCTCTCCCAGCCAGCCCTGCAGCCCCCTGCTCGCTGCAGCAGCTGCTTCCATCCCGCCTCTGTCCTCCCTCCTGTTCCCCACTGCATTTCTAGGGCTCTCTACTTCCAGATCCATCAAGGCAGCGAACTGAGTCGGTCGTTTCTGTTTCCTCTTCCTAGACTTGTTTCTATGAAAGGTTGGGAGGTAGGGCCAGCAGGTGGCATGGTGGCTAAGGCACTGGACTCCCACATGGTCGACTGTGGTTTGAGTCCCGGACCTGGCAGCTTGAAAATCATGCCGGCTGGGACCAGCAGGTGGCATGGTGGTTAAGGCGCTGGACACTCCCACATGGCCGACCACGGTTTCACTTCCCCTCTCTCTCTCTCTCTCTCTCTGTCAAATTAAAATAAATGAATGGATAAATAAAATTAAATAAATAATTATTTAAAAAAGAAAATCATGCCGGATGCATGTGCGCGTGTGCCCCAAATCCCCGGAGGAGAATGGAGGAAAAGGGACTACAGTGTGGCCATACCCCCAGGGGGTGATTTCTCACTTTCTCTCCCTATGTCTCTGTCTCCCCTCAGGTGAGCTCATGTGCCCTATGGCAAAAACCTAAAACAAACAAACAAAAAGAAAAAGAAAACAACAAAAATCATTGTGGCGACTGGAATCATTCTGACACTTTGTTTGTTTGTTTGTTTGTTTGTTTAGCTATAGGGTGCTTGCACTCACCAGACAGAGAGAGACAGAGAGACAGAAAGCAAGAAATCACCCCCCAGGGGGGATGGCCACGCCGCAATCCCTTCTCCTCCATTCTCCTCTCGGGATCTTGGGCATGCATGCACACGCGCCCGATGTGAGTTTAAGCCACCAGGTCTGGGACGCGAACTGCGGTCGACTACGTGGGAGTCCAGTGACATAGCCATTACGCTAACTGCTGGTCCCCCCGACATTGGTTTCTGTACTCACTCTATGGGTATTTCTTAGTGGTTTTGCCTTCTCTCTTGCCCGCTGACTCAGCCGTCCATTTCTCCACTGCTTGTCTGGCTTCCTCCACCCTGGGCCTCCTCTCCCTGATGCTTCACGTCTTTAAACTGACTCTCCCCATCCTACACAGGAAAGGCTCCTGCCATACCCTTAGCAGAGCTGCCCACCCCTGAGAAAGATGCCCAGCACAAGACAGAACTGGGTGAGTCGCTCACCTTGTCTGTCTCCCCTGCCCTGCCCAGGCCTCATACACGCCGAAGTGCTTGTGGGAACCTGCAGTCATCCAGGAGCCCACTGAGGCCTCCTGTGTTGGAGGGGCAAAACCAACGGAAGGGTTCATCAGAAGGAAGGGAGGCCAAGCACTGATGGCTGAGCATGTACATCCTCTCTGAGGACCTGAACCTGGCCATCCTGCTAACCTGGAACCCAACTCCCTGTCCTAGAAGCCCTCTGATACCACTGTAGGGGGGTGTGTGTGTGAGAGAAACAAGGCCGGTTGTCAGAGCCCCTAATCTCCTGTCCTTTCATCCACAGCTCCTGAAGAGGCAGAGATCAAGACCGACCCTTCCAGAGACAGTGCCGGCCAGACCACGGTCAGGACTGGGCTAACGGGGAGGAGCTGAGGCGGGGTCGGGCTTCACTGAGATCTGCTTGTATTCTAAAGGCAGACCTCCTTTGTCGGTCGTGACTTACTTCCCTCAGTGTCATGTTTAAGGAGTAACACCTAAGCCAGGCGCGGTGGTGTATGCCTATAATCCCAGCTACTCGGGAGACTGAGGCAGGAGGATCCAGAGTTCAAGGCCAGTCTGGCAAAAACAGTGAGAACCTGTTTCTTCAAAAAAAGGGACCAGCAATTGGCATAATGGCTATGTCGCTGGACTCCCATGTAGTTGACCAGGGTTCAAGTTCCAGACCCAGTGGCTTAAACTCACACTGGGCATGTGTGTGTGCCTAAGATCCCGAGAAGAGAAGGGATTGCGGTATGGCCATCCCCCTTGGGGGGTGATTTTTCGCTTTCTGTCTCTCTTTCTGGCGAGCGCATACACCCTATAGCAAAACCCTCTCAAAACAATTTTATATTAAAAAAAAAAAAACAGAAAAAAAGAAAAGCCTCTCCACCTAGGTCCATTATATATGTTTGGTACCATATGGAGGAGGTGTCCCGAGGGGCAGATTGTGCAGGGAATAGAAGGAAGGGGTGACAGGAATGCAAGGGCGAGGTGAAGAGAGGAGCTGCACTGAAGGCAGGAACGACTGGAGGTAGATGGAGGAAGAGAGGTAGGAAATAAGTGAAGAAGGCAGGCAAAAGCACAAAGGCAAGGCAGCCACTGCCCAGCTCGAGTCCCCTGTCAGGAACAGCCACTACACAGACGTCCCAACCCCACAAAAGCTCTGAGCATGGATGGAACTGTCCTGGCACCCTCTTCTCAAGGGTAAAGGTGCCAGCCAGATGACTCACCATGGCAACACAATCTCTAAGTCCGTGGATTCAGACCTCGGCAGGACTTAGTACTTAGCTCTGTGGCCTGTCAGTGTGGATTCTGTGGGGACCGCAGCCTCTGGTCCCGAGATGCCGTCCTGCCCCTCACAGCTCTCCAGACTGGACTGCAATATGCAGTTACTGTGTAGCGGCCCGAGCCCTCCGCTTCTCTGCCTCCCAGCTCCTGTGCCCTCCTGCAACTGTCTGCTCCAAGGCCTAGGTGCATTAGGGGAGGATTCTCTTTAGGGCCATCCCTTCCCTGAAAATAGCACAGAGGACAGGAGAGAAATGAGCCAGGAAGACTAGTCCGATCTCAGGCAGCAGGCGGACAGGTCAGGCAGTCAGGTGACAGCATGGGCTCATGGTCCCACCCCTCTGGAGGGCTGGGTGGGTGCAGATGTGCTTAGAGGGCCCAGCCAGAATCTTCCTGGGCCACTGGGGGAGCTATTGAGTTTGTTTACAATAAGAAGGGGGGCAGGGGGGAGGGAAGGAAAAGAAAGTGAGAGCTGTTGAGCCTGAGGGAGAATAAGCCCGCTTCTGGTAGGGCCTCTTCAGGTGACAGTTCAGGGACCTTGGAGCAGAGTGGGTGGGGAAAGTGGAGCTGTTCACTAAGAAGGCACAGGCAGAGTGGTGGCAGGTACAGGACCATCTGTGGGTGGGGCTGTGGCATGGAGTAGGAGAGAAGAGACAGGGAAAGACACCCCAAGGCAACATAGAGAAAGGCGGGACGGAGGGAGAGGGCCCGGCCGGGCCTCGGTCCCTGCCCAAGTCCCACAAGCTGGCTCTTTCCTCTTCTCTCTGGGACTGGGTCTTCTGTGATGCCTTCCTATCCCGCTTGCTCCCCTAAATTGGGAGCAGGGGACACTGCTGCATTAGGAATCCAGAGGACCCCCCACCCTTTCCTGACACCCCTCTACCACCTGTGTGTGTCCCCAGGTATACTGCTGTCCATACTGCAGCTTCTTGAGCCCAGAGGCTGACCAGGTGAGGGCTCATGCACTCTCCCAGCATGCAGTGCAGCCCAAATACAGGTGCCCGCTGTGCCAGGAGCAGCTGGTGGGCCGGCCGGCCCTGCACTTCCACCTTAGCCACCTCCACAACGTGGTGCCCGAGTGCGTTGAGAAGCTGCTGCTCGTGGTGAGTCCAGGCTGGGGGGGAAGAGGCAGGGACATCCAGGGAACTGTGTGTGAGGACGGTGCTGGTGAAAGCAGCAGCATTTTACAGATGTGAGATTGGATTCGGGAGACAAGAGATTGTCAGAACTGAGCTTGTCGAGCTTCCCCTACTCAGGGACAAGAAAACCAAGCCTTTCTTTCACTTCCATTAAATCCTGAGAGGAGTTGGTTAACAGTAGGCACAGGCCTGCCAGGGACAGCCAGCCTCAAGGAAGGATGGCTTTCAGCCTGGGGAAAGAGGGAGCCAGATTAGAGAGGCAGCAGCCAGGCCCTCTGGCCTGCAGGGACAGTGCAGTTAGGCGGGAGGCTTGTCTGGAAGGGAGCTAGGTCCGTGAGAAGGGGACATGGCGCAGGCGCAGAGCAGACAGGCCAGGAGCAGCACAGGGCTAAGAGGTGGTGGTGAACCCTAGGACTGTCCCCATTCAGGCCACAACCGTAGAGATGACCTTGACCACCAAAGTGCTACCCGGGCCCACGCTAAGCCCTCTGGAGGATGGCCCAGAAGCGCCCACTCCTGGGCCAGTGCCTGCACCGAGCAGCAACCAGGCAACAGGTAAGAAAGGGGGCCTGGGCTTCGTGGGCTAAGAAGAGCTGGAGACAACGGAGGACTGGACCAATGGCCCAGAAACTGAGTGGTGGAGACCGGCATACTGAAGGCTCCCTGCTAATTGTGCCCTCTTCTCTTCCCTAGAAGGCCCTAACATGACCCCAGAAGCCAGTCCGGATCCTCTTCCTGAGCCTCCCTTGGCCTCAGCTGAGGCCCCAGACAAGCTTTCTGGAAGCCCTGACCAACCCCCCTCTCCAGCCTCATCTCCAGTCCCTCGGCCTGAGCCTGATGTCCATGCTGAGGAAGTAGTTCCTCCACCCACCATGGCTGAGGAGGAAGAGGGCAACGCTGGGGAGCCCCGCTCTGCAGAGCCAGCTCCCACAGACTCTCGTCACCCTCTGACCTATCGGAAGACCACCAACTTTGCCCTGGATAAGTTTCTTGACCCTGCCCGGCCCTATAAGTGCACTGTGTGTAAGGAGTCTTTCACCCAGAAGAATATCCTCTTGGTTCATTACAATTCTGTCTCCCACCTTCATAAGATGAAGAAGGCTGCCATTGACCCCTCCGCCCCAGCCCGGGGAGAGGCTGGGGGCCCCCCCCCCCCCCCCCCCCCCACCGACAACCC